GGACCATGCCAAGAAACCAATAAGATCAAGAGATGATCCAAGACAACGGTTTTGGGATGCGGTGGGGGGAGGGGAGATTTTGAAACTTGTGAAATCCTTTTCTGATGAAGGGTCTAGGCCCGAAACGTCAGCCTCTCTGCTCCTATGATGCTGCTTGGCCTGCTGTGTTCATCCAGCCCTGCACCTTGTTGTCTCGGATTCTCCAGCATCTGCAGTTCCTACTATCTCTGAAGAGATGATCCAACTTTGTTGTGCTTTAATAGTTGTTGCCCCTGAATGTTGACCAACTCTGCAACTTCCAGAACACGTAAGCATGAATTTAACTAATCCTAATGTCATGCTCGCTACTTCAAACAGCAAGTACAGAAACAGTATAAATTTGTTACTAACGTACACCACTCTTTCAAAGCATAAAGGGAGTGTTCTCAATCTGCAAAAACTTAATGAGAAGGACCTTAAAATGGATTGAATATTTCACAGAAGCCTCTTAAAAGTTCGCTAAATCATATTAATGGTAAAATCTATGAGTTTCAGCACGATTTATCAAACTTTTCAAATATCACTGCTCAAAATTGTACTTCTTAAAATTGTTTGAAGTGTTAATTTTGTAAAATTAATGATGCCTGCTAAATATCTGATTTTTCCAATGCCTTTTGACTACAACAGGCTTTTCAGTTTTTGTGGTGGAGTGATTGCTATGGGTTTATCAAAAACAAGTCAAGATTCCTGATCTTAATAGTCATTCCTGTCCCTGAAAGCCTTGTGCTGTTTTAATGAGAGACAAAGTTGGATGACAAAATGCAAATAAATTCTGAAACCCCAAATCATTTTACCTCCAAAACTAGAATAAAGTGCTTCTTAAACTGGACAAAACCCACTGGTTTAACACCTCTTAAACACTGGAACATAGAGATAGGAACAGGAGTAGGCCATTCAACCCCTTAAATCTGCTCTGCCATTCATTATGATCTTGGCTGATCATCAAGCTCAATACCCTAATCTCGCTGTCCCTTCCGTATCCCTTGATCCCTTTTAGCCACAAGAGCTATATCTACTTCCCTCTTGATGTTTTAATGTTATGGCCTCAACCATTTTCCACAGTGGTGAATTCCACAGGCTCGCCACTCTCTGGGTAAAGAAATTTCTCCTCATCACAGTCCTAAAAGGTTTATCTCTTATCTTTAAACTTTGACTCCTGGTTCTGCACTTTCACACTATCAAGATCATCCTTCCTGCATCTAACCTGTCTAGCCCTGTTAGAATTCTATAGGTTTCTATGAGATTCTCCCTCACTCTTCTAAACTCCAGTGAATGCAATGCAAACTGACTCAATCTCTCCTCATATGTCAGTCCTACCATCCCAGGAATCAACTTGATAAACCTTTGCTGCACTTCCTCTATAGCAATAACATCCTCAGATAAGGAGACCAAAACTGCACACAATATTCGAGCTGTGTCATCACCAATGTCCTGTATAAATGCAGCAAGACATCCTTGTTCCTGTACTCAAATCCTCTCACTATGAAGTTTGCCTTCTTTACTGCCTACTGCACCTGCACACTTACTTTCAGCCTTAACTATAACAGCTGAAGTCACAGATATTCAAGTGAGCATCACCTTCACTTTCATAGGAGCGTTGACCGGAGGAATGTCTAAGGACTTTGGAAGGCTTTATTATACTAAAGATGCTAAATAAATACAAGTTGTTGTTGTTACTTGGATCCAGTGTATACGTGGTGGATGCAGGATTTACTTTGGAATCACTAACAGGCCATCTGAGCCCACAGTGTATCAGTAGCACAACAGTTAACACAGCATCTCCTAACTGCATTGACCCCTGACTACAGTCTGACATGTGACTAATAAAACAGTCTTCTCTCAATGTGCCGAAGCTGGGCAGTTTCGACTGATCTTGATGGAACCACAAAAAAGTGGATCATTAGGCACAAATTACCAAGCTCATTCAGAAACGCTACAAAACCAATGAATCAAAAATACGCAATAGTCTCAAGGTTATTGATGTGATGTAAAGCATAGGTAGTGTTAGTCCCTATCTGGTTAATGCTATATCTTGACTTTGATACTGAAGATACTTGACACGAGGTAGTGGTGGTGTGTTACAGTCTCAGTTGTTGTGGCAATGTGTACTTTTACATGAATTCTGTGGCTTGGACTATGGATAGTGATGATAGAGGCTTCAACTTTGGGCAGATGTGAAAGGCATGGCTGACCAGGAATCTCTCTTGCTGTCACTGCCTGCCTTTGGTATGTGTTGAAAGGGTTTGCAGGCTGATGCTCAATCTGTTTGACCACATTACAGTAGCACCTTCCTTAGCCGTCAACTGCTCAATTGAAGATAATTGAATTTAACACAGATTAGGAATTAAGCCTGGTTTCTTTTGGTCTGTATGGCTTTATTATATCTTAGCCTTCCTGATTGAGTGTCATGTGTACAGCAATTCCTTGCATGAGTCTGGATATAGGACATCGAGCTAAATTGGTGTCACACTTGCTGCTGAGTCAGTAGTTTGCATTTTCAATCCTACTGAAGGACTTAAACATGTCGTCTGGGGTGATGCAATGAGAGGGTGCTGTGGTACCAGAGATGAATGGAGCCCTTCCTGCATGTTGAGCTGGATGGTGAAACCCTGTAGCACAACTGGAAGACGTGCAATTCAATTCTCCTGGTGTTCTAACCTGAAGCAGGTCACCAAACATGGATTTGATAGTTATTCTTTCATTCATTTGATATTGCTGAGTACAATTTTGTTGCTTCATTTAACGGAATTACAAATAATTCACTGTGAAGCATTTCAGAATGTCCTTAAGCACGTGATGAGATCATAGAATCAAAGAATTCTGACAGTGTGTGGAAACAGGCCATTCGGCCCCTCGAGTCCACAACGACCCTCTGAAGAGCATCCCACCCGGACCCAACCCCAAACCCTGTCCCTGTAACCCTGCATTTCCTATAGCTAATCCACCTAGCCTGCACATTCCTGAACACTATGGGTAATTTAGCACGGCCAATCCACCTAGCCTGCACATCGTTGGACTGTGGGAGGAAACCGGACCACCCAGAGGAAACCCACAAAAGCACGGGGAGAATGTGCAAACTCCCACAGACAGTTGCCTGAGGATGGAATTGAACCCAGGTCCCTGGCGCTGTGAGGCAACAGTGTTAACCACTGAACCACCGTGCCACAATACAAATGCAAATTCTTGTGTCCTTACAAAATAGAGTGCCAGATTTTATATGAGCCCTTAAAAAGTGAAAATAACCGGTTCCAATTGGTTACAATACAATGTCCTGAATGGTATTGTTTGTGATCAAAATACTCACAGGAGGACCAGGTAGACCCTGCAAACCAGTGAAGCCTCTGTGACCTTTCTGCCCTCTTTCACCTGCCTCACCAGCTTCGCCCTTGTCGCCCCGAGGACCTTGAGGACCCTGAAGAGAATATTAATACAAGAGGTTAAAGCAGGTTTGTCAAGTCTAGCTGATCTGGAATGAGACACATTTTGGGTTAAAATAAGAAGTGTCAACTCTTATAGAAACAGATGTGACTACATGAGACTGGAACGACAATAACAGTGGGGGCATTTTATATGTTTAGTTGAAATTCCATTGCCATTAAAATAAACTGTATTGCAGTCTCTTTTAAAGGCCTATGAGCTTTAATGGACTTGTGATCAGATTTTCAGATTATATTCCTAATGCTGACAGTTCTGGGTAAGACCCCAAAAGAGTTCTGAAATATTAAAATTGATTCTCCACCTCTAATCGGGGTAACTACTATGTATCTGTTCCCACTGCTGGAGAATTACCCCAGGGGCAGGCCTGCACTGGGGAGCTATCCCAATGTGCATCTCACGATTTTCCGAACCCTTCCTAGGGCCAGGAAAATTCTCCCCTTTTTTTCTGCAGTGTGTAGCATCCCCTCAGTGGTTCCGTGTGTGAATGGCTGTAATACAGAAGGAGGCTATTCGGCTTGTTTGCACTGTCTCTCTGAAGGATGCAATTATTAATGAAACAAATTGCTCTTTTCTATAACAGTTAACCTAATTTTTTTTAAAACTTCCTGTCTTGCTCTGTCTAATTAGTTGAAAAAAATCTCATGATATTGTTTCAAAATTTTACATGATTTAAGATTACTTACAGGCATACCACGGGCACCAGCAGGACCAGAAGGACCCATTGGACCTTGAGCACCCTACAAAGGAAAATAACTTTATTAAAGCAATAATAAAACACAAACCAATAGTCTGT